TAGCAGCATCATTTGCATGATCTATTCCTACATGCTCCACAATAATCCATTTAAAACTATATTTTTGAGTCCATGACACCTTTGCCCAGAGTGTAAAATTTAACAGATGTCACATTCCAACAATTTGTTGTATTAACAAGCAAAATTTTGTTTTACTGGCCCAACTCAAATTTACCTTAACATTTTTTATTATATCTGAATCCCTGTGGCCACTAACTTTTTAGAAGTGTGTGAAGTTCTTCCATAGTAAGTAAATAGGTATGATTATGCTATCAACTATATTTTAACTTTAAAACTTATTTTGTAAAATGTCATTAATTATTAGACCTTTAACGAGTTCCTTGTAAGTGTCTGCTGGTTATTTGAAAGGAAGTTTTTGTTACAGATCTAAAATTGTTTTTCTTTTAGCATCTTTCATGGTTGAAGTAGAATATAAATATAGTTATCAATTAGCCAAGAAATATGTTATCTTGTATACATATGTGAATATGTAACAATGAATCCCACCATTGTATACAATATAATGCACCAATAAAAAATGTGGAAAAAACAAAGTCAGTAAATTTAGATTAGTTTTAACTCAAATAAATTTGAGCACGATTGGTAACTAATAGCCTCTAGTAGATGTAAGTTTCTATAATAAATGTTTGTACTTAATGTTCCAATATATGTTCTGTTAAAACTGTAACATTGATCAATACTAAATGCAATATTTAGTTAACTTATTTCCCAAAAGCCTGATAAAAATTTTGCCTTCCTTGGGTATGCTAAGAAAGCTAGCAAAATTTTATTCCAAAGTGCAAAATCCTTTTATTTCTCTTTATGACTAGTGTAAACTATTAAGGTTAAGTGGGTGGGGCAACCGGAAGTAATTACTAAGGCCAGTGGCATTTTTGTGGTTTAATAAAGGCAGAAGCTAATTATTCAGTTTTTATTTAAGTGAAATGGTGCCAAAAAGGAGGTTCCTGCAGAGCAGCTGCACTCCTTCAGTGTTACCCTAATTTACCAAAGACACAACTGTCACAAACAAAACTTTTAAACTTGATATATAGCCACAAAAGTAAGGAGGCCTTTGTTTGGAGTGCATGCAGAAGAACTCCTTTATACAAATCAACCGGCAGATGACGGACAATGATGAAAATTTGATTCTTTGAAGTTATAATAGTCATTGAAATGTGTGAAATTCTGGTATTGAAAAGAGAGCGGCCAGCAAGACTCTAAATCCTGGGTGGTTGCAAGAAGCTTGCTGGGAGGTTTTTCTGCATTTTGACACCAACTTCCCATTGCTTGTTCCCTGCTTCCTTTGTTTAAAAAAAAAAAAAAAAAAAAAAAGTTGAATTCACACAAGATAAATGGAGACAGTTGATAACCGAATCATACAGTTTTTATATGGAAAACTGATATTTTATAGTGGAAATTGGTATTTGAAAAAAATGACACACATACACATATATTTTAGTGAGTTTTCAAATTGCTCTTTCTTTTACTTCAAAAATGGAAGGTCAGCTGTTAGTTCTTCCAAAATTTTTAATTATGAAAAAGATGGTACTGAAAGAATGGAATTTTGGAATTATGACATGCATCTTTTCAGTAGCAAATTTTGATTTGGATGCCCTTCATTTGGGAATTATGATTAACTGACTACCACTTCCTAATAGCATAATTATATATGCATGAAAATTATGTACATAGTCTTTAATAGTAGAAATGTACATTTCATGCATGACTCAATTGTTTACAAATTGAAGGTTAACATTCAGTAAATCTATGTATTATCTCTAGGGTAACCTGCTTCATTGTAATATACAGATAATTATGATCTGGTAAGTCTTGAGGTTTTTTATTTGCCAGCTCAAAAGCTTCTCATACCTTGTGTGATTTAATGTTTTTATAATCAGAAGATTTATGAATTATTATTTTAAAATATGTTACCAGTAAGATGAAAAATTACAAAAGGCAATAATAACAACCTTAATGCATTTCTCTTATAAATAGGTTTTTAGAAAATTCATGTGATTTGTATTAGGATATAGAAGTAGAAATATATGGAGAATATCAATTCAATATAGTTTAATTTGCAGATGTTTTATATGTTTATTGTTTGTAAAAGTATGAGTCACAGGTAGCTCAGTGAAAATTTAGAGGGATAACACCATGGAAGACAAGTAGAGTTGGACATAGTGCCTTTCAAGTGTTACATTGTTTTAATGGAATCTTGAAGTGGGAGCTTTAGCCCATTGAAGTGTCGCTTAGAAAACAGGTTCTTCTGTCACTAGCTGAAGCTGTGTGGATGAAATGATAACAATAGAGTGTCTTGGTGCATTTTAAAAGTGTGAGAAATCAGTTTGTCTAGACTAAGAGTGTGTCTACAGGGACTAGGAATTTTAGAGCTTCTATGCCCTTTAGGTGTCAAGTATGTTAGAGATGCCAAGCCTTTTTATTCTGCATCTTTGGCAGCAGCTCAACTGGGTTACAGTACCTTACCAGTCTTCTGCAGGCAAAAATTGATTTTGTGTCAGGACTTTGGCTTAAAAATTCAGAAACTTGTTTGCTTTTAAATGCCAACTTTAAATTGGGGGAAAGATATCCTATAAATCATTGCAATAATTTGAGAAGATGTGAAAGATTGGTAGTGATGAGTTCAGAATATAAACAGCTTGTTAGCAAATTTGCGGTCAAATGAAGAGATTTTTCCATCCTAAAATTCACTCTTTCCTTTTCTACTTTATATGGTAAAAATCAAAAGACCTATTTCAATTTTTTAAAAAATTTCATTGGCTTTTAAATTACTTTGGCATGTATGCATCACAATATAGAAATTATAAAGAAAAAGTATTTTCTGTTTTCTCATTTTCCTGAGTCAACTTGTGTTAAGAATTTAACATTTCCTTAATATGGGCAGTTTAAAGAAGAGTCAGATAACTGATCCTGTTAGGAACTTAGCTTAGAATGGACGGGTTGCTATGAAATTTGGAGATGTCCCACCTTAAAATTCTATAACATGTTTCCAGTATTTGTTCATTTCTTGCTTCAGCTATGGTTGAGGAAATAGCATATATCATGAGATTGATATGTCCCTATTAAATTATAAACTAATATGGCAGACTGCAAATATTATAGAACCCAAAGGAGAAATAAGCATTGAGGACTTCCCAGGAGCTGAGTCACTTCACACTCCTGACTAGAGGACTATGCTATAGAAGGTCATTAAAATGTAGTAATACTTAAAATTGCTTTTATTTGAAATTTAACCTGACAATTAAAAATGATCAATTAAAATGTATTTATATTTTTAAATTATGTACCAATTCTCTTGTCTTTATCCTAGATATAAAGAAACATAAAAAATAACGTAGGTATGTATTAGGAGAGCATATTTGTTTAAATATTTATATGGATCATTTTGATATTTGATGGATCATTTCTTTAAACAAAACAAGTTGTGACAAAGTAGCCACACCTAATTGGTGTAATTGGAAAAATACTATGTTAAGCAGGGATTGGTTGCTAACTGAAATAAATTTAAAGAATTGTTTTTTTAATCTTGTGGATAGAGAAGCTACTCAATTCAGAAATGTGCTTAGTGTTTTCCCAGTACATATTGCAGCACCAAGTATTTATGCTAATTCATAGCACTGATAGATTAGAACTGCAAATAGACATTAGCTTTTTTAGGGGATATATGATAAAGAAATGAAAATTCACAAAATGGGTTAAGTTTTCTAGTACTTACAGGTTTGATAACATCATTTTCTTGCTAACTTTCTTGGTTTTAACTAGAAAAAAAATGAAAATTTACTGTAGTGATTTTTTTTTTTTTTTTTTTTTTTTTTGGTGGCACTGAGGATTTATTTTGGAACTCTAGCAAATGCTAGGCAAATCGCTCTCCCACTGAATTCTACCCTTTGGTTTAATGATTTTAAAATGGCATACTTATAAACAGTGATATGGTTAACCCTAATATGATTTTACTTTGCTAGAATAAAGTTTTTGCCTTTATTAACTGGAGATTTTAACTCTGAATTTATTATTTGGTGTTCTGATTGCTACTATGTTTTGACAAATATATCTAATCTGTAGCATCAGAATTCTATGCATGCTCCAGTTGAATGTTTGTTACTAGATAAAAGAATAGAAAATGGGAGTTAAGAAAGTTACTATTGTTTTCATTTCCCATTTCTTCAAAAATTGTGAAACTTTTTAATTTACCTTTATAGGTTAGATTTGCTTTACTAGTCTTTCAGTAGGTTTCATTAGAGAGATAAATTGCCAATTAAAGTTGTTATTTGATTTTTTTTGTTTACAAAAAGGCTCAGTCCTCCCTCTGAAGGGAGTGTCTTTTAAGCATTTTGACACAGAAACCACTGGTAATAAGATTTTTTTTCTGCTTACAATTGTCTATTTTCCTATCCTTTTACTTTTAATATCCACTTACATTTTTTCCTTGTCTGACCTGTTGAACCTGCTTGCAAAATAAGAGCATATTGACTACAGGTTTTATAGGTAGATTCCAGAAATTTTCAGTGTTGTACTGAAGGTATAGCTCAATGGTACAGCACTTGCCTGCTGTGCAGGAGGCCCTGGATTAGATCCCCAGTGCTGGGGTGGGGTGGGGTGGGGAGGGGATGTGGGCGGGGGAGGTGGTGGGGAGTGCTTGGGGTGGGGGAGGTGGTGGGGAGTGCTTGGGGTGGAGGAGGTGGTGGGGAGTGCTTGGGGGGCATGAGGAAGTACCAAAGCTTTGTTGGACAAAGGGATTTAAATTTTGTTTAATGATTCCTTTCCCACTGTTCCCTAAAACCACCTCTCAAATACACCGTTTACAGTTATCAGAATGGCCGTTTATGTAGTAAAATATCCGAATAGTAGTGAATTAAGCAAGAAAGTTTATCTCATTTTATAAATAACTCTGAATAGAATTGCATGATTATAGGGGACAACAAAAGTACATTAGTGGGAATATAGACTGTTAGAAACATATTTGTTTGCTTGTTTTTCTTTAGGATATCACTACATTAACTGGTGTTCCAGAAGAGCATATCAAAACTAGAAAAGTCAGGATCTTTGTTCCTGCTCGAAATAACATGCAGTCTGGAGTAAACAACACAAAGAAATGGAGGATGGAGTTTGATACCAGGGAACGATGGGAAAATCCTTTGATGGGTTGGGCATCTACGTGAGTATTTTGTTTTAACATAAATATTGTTTTCAGTTTTCTGTTTCTGTGTAGATTTTTCTTTAAAATATGTTGATTTTCAAATTCTTTAATGTACAGTCTATTGATGACAGTATTTTGACTCTTTATCACTGTAATAAACACAGATATTTATATAAAATATATAAAGAAAAATACATATCAAATAAATATGGTTCAACACATTACACCAGAAATATTATTCTAAATACTATTTATTAGATAAAATGATTGACATTATAAGGATTGTTAGCCTGGTATTCAAGCTAGGTATATTAGTCTAAGATACTATGTGAATGCTAATTTATTGACACTTTTTAACTTGCTTTTAAATTAAAGTGAAACTCCTTTACATATCTTGTTTGTAAAGAGTTGGGAATTGAGTTCAGAAATTAGCTAATTTGAGGAAAACGTGTAAATTCTTGAGAAAAATTAATTACTTTTTCAATGCATTGGAATAAACTATTCAGGGACATCTTTTCAGTATACCTGGGAGAATTTTTGTTAAAAACATCTTCCCTGTTGCAATTGAAATAGAATTTATGTTATTAAGCAAATGATATATAGGTATAGTTTGTACGTTTTTTTTTGGCGGAGGGGGGGCAGATCTGATTTTATTGCAGTTACCATGTATATATACTTGGGCAGTAGCTAGGCAGATTACAGGCAGCCACCAATACAATTTTTTGCTAACTGTCCTTGCAGTGACCAATTGAGGAATGGGCCGTGGAGCAAGCGCAGGGACTGCAACACTGTGGTCTCATGCCCAGGGCTGTGCCTATGGGTAAGCTGTTTGCTGCTTACACGCCTAGCATGAGGGGAGTGGCCTGCCACTTAGCCGCCCTTAATGTAGGCATGTATGCAGTACTCCATGCATTTGTCCCCAGAGAATTAAACATATTATCCTAAGTTCTATAGTTATAAAATGGCAGAGTGTAAAAGGAAAAAGAAAAAGGAATGGAAAAAGGCAAAGGGAAAGGAGGGAGAAAAGGACATAGAGCTGACTGACATTGTAACTGAGTCACAAGAGACTTATAAAAAGCTGGTGATGTCAGGATAGGAAACTCAACAGGCAAAAATCAATAGCTTTCCTACACACCAATACCGAATTTGTTGAAAAAGAAATTAGGAAAGCAGTTTTATTCACAGTAGCTTCAAAATCAATCAATCAATCAATCCATCCATCCATCCTACCAAGGCAGTGAAAGACCTCATGAAAATTATAAAACACTGAAGAAAAAAATTAAAGACACTAGAAGATGAAAAGTCCTCCCACTATTCATGGATTGGCAGAATTACTATTATCGAAAAGGCTACATTACAAAAGCAATTGACAGATTCAATGAAATCTCCATCAAATACCAATGACATTCTTCACAGAATAAGAAAAAAACAATCTTAAAATCATTTGGAAGAATAAAAGACCCAGAATAGCCAAAGTAGTTCTAAGCCAAAAAAGCAAAGCAGGAGGCATCACAATATCCACCTTCAAATTGTACTACAGAGCGATAGTAACAAAAACTGCATGGTACTGGCACAAAAACATTCACACAGGGCTGGGGTTGTAGCTCAGTGGTAGAGTGATTGCTTTGCACATGTGACACACTGGGTTCGACCCTCAGCACCATATAAAAATTAAATAAAATAAAGGTATTGTGTCCATCTACAACTAAAAAAAAAAAAATTAAAAAAACCATACACACAAACCAATGGAACAGAATGGAAGACACAGATACAAACCAACACAGTCATCTGATCATTGACAAAAGCTAATTTGTAGGTATTTGTATAGCAAATACAAATTGTTTTGTGTAATATATGAAGTCTTTTTGTAAATCACATTCTTCTAAAGACTAAAGAAATCTTTAAGGAAAAACTTTGTCTATACCCAATGATTGAAATGTTGTGCTCATTCATTTTGAATTATGAGATTTTAATGTGTTTATCTGAGACTCGCTGTAATACATTTCCAACAATATTCAGTAATAAATCATTGTTTGAATATTTGTACCTTGTGTACTCTAAATTGATATACTCTTATCTGAATACTTATTTATGTAAGAATATGAGGTTGAGAGTTGTAGAATAGAAAAAGTAATACTTTTTCCTCATATCCACCACAAGTTTCAAGGCTGAGGCAATTTATAAAAAGATAAATTAATAAGAATAGCATACAGATTCATTTATAGTAATTTTTATGTGATATAGCCCTACAATGAACACCCAAAGAAACAGGGAAACTTATTTTTATGCTAAAGTTTGGCAAAAAAAAATTGTATATAATCATGATTGGACAAAGCTGGTATGATCTAATGGTAATAAGCTGGGGGAACTTTGTTCTTGCCTGTTTATTTTCTTTTCTGTGCCCCTGTGTCTTCAGAGATCCCTTTCCTCTAGTTATAGGGTAGACACTTCTAGAATGATGGTCTCATAGGTTATTTTGGAAAGAGGTCAGAGAATTGTTACAACTTGCTTCAAGGGAGAAGGACAAGCAAAGACCCGAGATAACTTCCTGATTCTGCTGTTTTCTCATCTGCCAAGATGCCATATTTTGGGGTAGCATGTCCTGAACCCTTTCTATAGGTTAAGTTTTACTTTGCTCTGCTTGCAAAATGTTTTTACAATCATTATCATAGTATTGATTCTAGAAATAGCACAACTAACTTTTGAAATACTTATTATTTAATGCCTTCCTGCTTTTGGAACAAAATTAAACCTACTGTGCCTGAATAGGGAAATACTGCTTTTATTGCATATGAATTGAAAATGAGCTGTACTCTATGTTTGGGAAATAAAAGAAATAAAGTTCTTTTCAAAATGTAGTTTTTCCAAAGTAAAGTATTTTTGAAATGATAGAACTCTTTATAAAGTTGGTTTGTCTGAAGCATTGTTTTGAATCTTAAATAACAACAACAGAAAATCTTTACTACTTCTCTTGGTTCTGATATTTAAACCACTAACATGAAAAAAAAAATTATGTCTAAATATTTGATTATTTTATTTGATTAAAAAGAGGCTCTTTGCTAATATTAGAATCAAAGTTATATTTTTTCATTCTTAGCATTTTAACACAAAAAGATAGTATATAATAAGTATTGCTTGAACATACTAATTTCTGACATTTTAAGCCCTTGTATAAAATTGTTATAATTGGAAAGTGAAGGCTTCTCATCATCTACTTAGTGTTCATCGTTTTAACTAAGAAATCTGTTTCCCAGATAAATCCATGGCTTGATTACAGTTTTAAATTCTTAGTCTGCTTACATTTTATCATTATTTATCTAACGTTGATTTGTGGAGTATAGCAAAAGTATTTAAAACCTAGGTAGATATATCTATATAGGTTTATAATATTTCCTTTTAATGAGAGAATTACTTTATTTAATGGGAAAAATAGAATGTTAATATTTTAATGTGATTTTTTTGCTATTGGTCAAAGAAATAATTCCTGGATATGCTAAAAGAGAAATGACCTTTCATTCTATACCCAAAATATGTTCATTTATAAAGACATAAAGTTTCATAAAATAGAGGATGTGTGCTTAACTGCATTCATTTTCTCCGTCTGGCTAGAATCTACCACATGGATGGAGTGGCATGGAGAATTTAATAGACACCTAAACCTGATGACATAGGAATATTACAGAGAGTTAAGAAGTATGTCGGATAAAAACGATGACAAATATGACACTTAGAGAGATAATCTTTGTGTACCTTTGGAGGTTTTTTCCATGCAGTTGCTATTAATACAAAGAAAACGATGCTTATTTCCTTGAACAGTAGAGGCAATGCTAATGGAAAAGGTAATTTAAAGTTACCTTTGTGGTAATTTTGTGATAGAAATTTGAAATCTCAGATGTTTTTCAGTGAGGGCAGAAGAAAGGCCTTATTGTGAAAGTTGTCTTAATATGATTTTTTTTTAAATACACTAAATAAATTTTGGTTTTATTTATGTATAGTATTTTTTATAATCGTAAAAGGCTACATTTGTTCACATGTAGGATTTTAAGATAAATGTGCTTGATCTTTGTTTTTAGATTTTTAAATTCACATTTTAAAATACTATATTTACATTTCTTTTTCATATTTGAAGTGTTCTTATGCTATTTTAATTATTTGAATCTTTAAATGTTAGAATTCAAAGGTAAAAGGTTTATCTTTATGCAAACATGAAAAATATAATAAGATTCAAAATCTTCCCTTGAGTTTGACCCAAGTTTTTACTGTTTAAATCATCTTGATCCCATGGGGTGGCAAAGGCAGGTGTTTGGTTGATTCATCCCCATTTAATACTATAGCTATTTATTGGTTAATAATCTTATGTTAATGTTGTTAATGTTTCTTAACAATCTTTTGTCTGTTGGAATGATAATTGTTTTCATTTACTTCTATAAGCAGGACTTTAATTTTTGTAAAACCTAAATGTATTTGTTTTAAATATAATGAAATTAACACAGAAGGTAATGAGTCCAACAGACAATCAGTGTCTTGGACTCATTACCTTCTGTGTTAATTTCATTATATTTAAAAAGTATGACTTCCATATTTAATTTTTAAAATGATTTTCAATAGAGAATTGTGAACCTGTCATTCAGCTTTTGGAAACAAGGATTTGTTCCATGTCATCATGGACATAGAAGGTCATCTAATTTAAGCAGAGGTGTATGCTAATTTAGATGTTGCTAATTCTCTCACTGCCTAACTATTCAAGTAGTATACTTGATCCTTAAGCCATAATAAGTCATCAAAGTGGTGGATACTTAGTCTTATAGATAGTCCTTTGGCTTATAAGTAGCAAACGGAAGTATTATTTGTCCCATCTTTCTGTCTTACACTACTCTACCTCAATGCAAAGGCACTTTTAAAATTTGCTTTAATCATATGGCCCATTTTTTTTGTTATCTTTCAATAAAGGTTTCTGTTACTTTTCTTTATTGACATTGTTGAACAAGTAAATGAATGTTTTGCACAGGAGATGTAAA